TGCACAGCCAGGAGGTATCTATGTATGTTTCTAATTGTGCGCTTCTCGTAGCTTCTAGGTAGGTAAGAATCAAGAGGATTATTATGTGCATTGAGATCGCGATGCCTACGGCCTCCATCTATTGCTGTCGATACGCTTGCGCATGCAATTGGGTAAAATTGCGGAATTGCCAATAAATTTGCTGCTGACATATCGTTTGCATATTTCATGTTACATTTTCGTACATATGTATGCACATATGTTTATACCGCCTCCAATGCTTTTCTTCCACGATTTTGCTCATTTTTTAATTTTTTTTTTAACAATAGTTGAATACACATATGTAAATACAAATTTGTGTGGCATATTGCCGCATTTGCTGGCGGAAAACCCAAAGGAAAGCAGGAGACAATTCAAGTGTGCAAATAATAATAAAATAACCCAATACCGGCATATCATAAACATCTGTTGTTGTAAGATTAACTTTGCTTTATCTTAATTGTACTATGCTGGCTGTGGAAAGCACCAGCGCACAGTGGGTGAAAATCGCAAAATTCGTTGTTTGCGATGTGAACGTGTTTGGTACTTTTGTAATCGTAATTTATCGACTAGAAAGAAATATACCGAAATTTCACTATCAAATAAACTATTTATATGACGCCAAGAAGTCGCTAATATTCAGAAATTTAATACAAAGGGCCGTTTTCTAGACTGTCTGTTAACGTTAACCCGTAAATTTTTTGACTCATATGCATTTAACAAGCATTCGAGCGAACGGCCTCAGGAATTAAACAGGGCAATTCTGCCAACCGTCTTTTAACTGACCGCATTATTTCGAAAGACGAAAGTCTTTAAGAAAGTTTAACTAAAAAAGAAAAAATATTTAAAAAACGAACCAAATAAGTTGCTAAAAAGTAAATGAAATGCATTTTTTTTATAAATAATATAACTTAAAAATGAACTGAATTAAAAAAAAAAAAAAATAAATAAAAAAGTATGATAGAGCTTGATGCCGTTATTAATGAAACTTTTTTGTGGAAAAACAAGAAAAAATATAATTAAAGCAAGAAAAAAATAAAATAAGTTGCTAAAAATTAAATGAAATAAAAAAGAATTTTCTTTTTAAAACAACAAAAATTTGATTCAAAAGGAATTTAATTAAATAAAGTTTAAGAAATAAACTCAAAACATTAAAATCTGAAAGTAAAATTAAAATTAAAAAACATTAAAAATAGTTAAGAAAAGAAACTAAATTCTAAACATTTTTGAAAAATATACGTGTTTTTCTTTTTGAATTTAAATTTCTTTTAAGTTTTAGATTCTATTGTTTAAAAATGAGAAAAAAATGTTTGATTTCACTTACTTTTTATAATTTATTTGTTTTTGTTATTTTTTTGGCCTTTATTGTTGAATATAATTTTTATAATTTCTTTTTTCATGTTTTTTAAACTGTTTTTTTTCTTTTATTTTTTCAATTTAATTTTCTATTAATTTTAAGATTTTATTGTCTAAAAAATAAATAACTTTTTTGTATAATTTAATTTTTGAAACGGTATTCCAAAATAACTGTATAAATAACTTTTTCACCAAAAAGATTATTGTGTTGGAAGTTTTATTTATTTAATGGTCAAGGTATGCCGGTCATTCCATGCAAAATATTTTTTGTTTTTACATTCTTTATCGAAAAAAGAAGACACATATTTTGTATACCACTATTATATACGAAAAGCTAGGAAAAGAGTTCCGAAATTTTGCAGTTAATAAACGAAATATTTCCTGGCTTTCTATTGGAGTGTGAGTTAGATTTAAGTAAATAAGTTTTGCATTGAAAAGAAAGCATTTGTTTAAAATTTTTTTTTAATAATTTTCTTGTTAACTATACACCGTCTGATTTTTGTTTGCAGTGTAGATGGTTTTTAAACTGTATGGAGTACACTCTAAAAATTTGGGATTGGAGGAACCAAAACTGTAGAAGTGGCGAATTTTTTCATGCTTGCGTACATATTTAAAGTCTTAGCGCGCAGGCATGCACTGCCAGTGCTAGCTACACTTGACAGAAGCATAACGGACATTTTTCTACGAGGTTGTTGAATATCAAGGTGGAATAAAAAAATAGGTGTCTTCTTTTTTTGATAAAAATATTGCACATAAAAAAATATTTAAGTGTAAATTTTGCATGGAATGACCCATATTCTAAGTATGTTATTTATGTTCGTAAACATAGTGATTTATCTGTATATGACAGGCGCGGATCCAGGTGGTAATTTAGGGGTGCGTCATTTCATGTTTTGTATAGTTTAATTATATTCAGTTTTACAAACAGGTGGCAGCTCTCTTCCGATTACCTATTTCGTTTAACAACCATATTGTGATGCATATTTTAATTATCTTATTGCCCTAATTAAAGTTGAATTTTTTTTTAGACAGCAGGCAACTTTTTACCGTGCAGGTGAGTGGTAAAACCTTTTTCAAAACCATTTCGAGTGATACCCCTATTGTAATAATTATTTAACTTATTAGACGGTTGGCAGCCTTTTCCAAAAATAAGACTTTACTGCGCATCTACAGGCCAAGCGCTTTTGACGCCTCCCCGACTTTACTACGAAACAAATTTTCATTTAAATCCATCCATAATTTTATTTTTGTCCACTTTTTATATGGAAGCGAAGCACTGTGCGCCATATTACCATTCTACAATATGTACTCGCAGTTATTACACAAGTTTTCCAACTCATAATTTTTGTCACATTTAAAGCACTCGCCTTACGTTTAAGCTTTTAATTTTATACAAAACTGCTTTTGCAAGTCTCATTAATTATTTCACATTTTAATTAGCAGTTGAACCTTGACTTTTACGTAAATACCCTATTCCAATAAATATACTCCGTTTCTAGTCTGCTTCACCCTTGAACTGCAGTTCCGTTTTGCATAATTGCCCAGTTAACCTTATAATTTTTGCAATAAACTTTCACAAAGAAAGCAATAAAAAGTTTGGGCCAACTTTTTAGCTATTACAAAAGCATTTGAATTATTGTTTTGCGCTAAAGTCCATTACGAAGAAGTCCAAGATTTTTAATCACCTTCAGTGTAAGCTCCTTTGGCATTGTAGCTTTGGTATGGTGGCCATTTACTTATCAAAATGGAAAAATGTGACTTGAAAGTGTTGCATAATTTGTCCGAATTGGAAGAGTGTTTATCAAAATCGAATTAAGGTCAATCGATAGCCTTGACATTTCTGGTCTAGAGCTTTAGACCTTGCATCTTGCATGCACTGAGAGCTTTTAACTGACCTGATGAGCAAATGACAATACTTCGAGCTCTTAGTTCATTGTGGTCTTAACCACGCACAGATGTTGAGATCACTGGATCCCCAACCATCTATATTCGGTGAGGGAAGACTTATTCCGTTCTAGTTTAAAATTTAGATGCCCGAATAACTGCACTGATTTCAAAGCAAAAGTAGCCACCATGATAGTAGCAGCAGGCTAGAAACGTGCGATTAGCTTCTGGACAGATGCGTATATAGTCAGCTCAGTAAACACAAATCCTTTTAGTGGGAGCTGTATAGAAGACGATGATATGGCATTAACTAAGCATCTGACACTTGGCTATTTAGTTCAGGCGAGCTTAAATTTTAAACATCCAAGGACTTAATTATTTTATTTTCTAGTCTATTCCAGCTTGCGAAACTTCATTGTGGATTCCCACATTTTTATACCAAAGCATGGCCATTTGTTTTCATTCTTATTTATACCATTCCTATTTGTCTTCGTTTTTCTTAAATCAATCCCGAGTATTGCATCCCCGTTCACGCACTGTTGGAAAGGTGACTACCCCATGTGCGAGACACGGTAACCAATTGATATAGAGCTTCTGTTCACGGCAGAAGCCTGGCTTTGGGGGTCACTCCCACACATTTGGATTTAAGGGCTCACTGAAGTCAGTAGCTTCTATTCACCAGTGGGTCTGGCTTCAGGCGGGCGCTTGTATTCCAATAAGCGGGTACCCATATGCGTTTATTTTCCAACCCTCCTAGCAATGGGTTGTGCGCTGGGCCTGGGCCTAGCCAAGTAAAGAGTTCATTGTCGCATTACAGGATGGAAGAGAGTTTACCGCTGGATGAACGGAAGATAAGCTGTGCGCGTACTTGACCTGTGTTTTATTCGAGGAGTAAGCATTGCCTAAATTCACTCAATTGTTACAGTTAAGATGGGGAATGAAAGGCTTTAGTAGGCGGCCTGAAATATCTGTAACTTGTTATTATTTTTTTTTTACACTGTAATTGCTCCTTCGTTATAGAATGTTATTATAAATATATTCCGATTCGTGCTGATTATTTCTTGGTCTATATATTAAAAAAAATGATCACATGCCTTTAAATTAATACAATTTATGTATAATAGCTCTTGATTTTTCAGTCCGGAGCCCGAGTTTTCTCTCGACGGCCCTGCTCGTACTTAAAGCTAGGTGCCATGCTGCCTGTGCTTCCCGCCTTAATTGAGCTGTGCCCAAAAGTTCTGAAATTGAATTCCCCTATGACCGTGAATCTACCTGTGGCTTTAGCAGCACGGTTTTCCGCGAATAGGTCAATGGGCGGTAAACTGAGGATAATTTCAAAAGCAGCCATTTGAGTGGACCTCAGCGCTCCCCTGATGCACAGTGCCGCGAGTCGCCGAACCTTCTCTATTGGCCTGAGATATGATAACTTTTTTGCAATGAAATGCACGATCCAATAAAATGGTAGGGCCATGTGCAGAAGAACTTGTCTGGTGCAAATCTAAAAAGGAAGCAGACAATTGGCGGAGTTTTTTGGTCTCGGCCCCAAACCGTCGCACGACTGTTGGCCAAATCGGAAGGAGAAGAAAAATAGCAATAGTAATGATAACGGCAATGATGATTGTAGTGGTAATGGTAATCTTAATGCTAATGGCAATGATAGCGATAATGGTATTGGTACTGGAAATAATAATTTTAATGGTAATGGTTATTTTAATGGTAATGGTAATCGTAATGCTAACACAATGATAATGGTAATGGTAATCATAATGCTAATGACAATGGTAGTGATACTGGTAAAGGTAATAGTAATAGTAATGTTAGTGGTAGTGGTAATGGTAATGGTAGTGAAAATGGTAATGGTAAAAGTAATTGTAATGGAAATGGTAATGCTAACGGTTATGAATATGGTTATAATTATGGTTATGGTTATGATTACGGTTACGGTTCCGGTTATGGTTATGATTACGGTTACGGTTCCAGTTATGATTATGATTACGGTTACGGTTATGGTTATGGCTATAGTTACGGTTCCGGTTATGGTTACGGTTATGGTTATGGTTAGATACGTAATAATAATTAAAGGAAATAGCGAGGGTACTGGACTCGGTAAGGACAAATGGCTTTATAGAATCAGAGTCATCTCAAAGTAGTTTGTTATCTATCGGGGAATAAGAAAATTGTTCTCATGTGTATTTAGGTCAACCCGGCCTAATGTACATGCATATTCGTAATCGAAATATGTATGGCTTCCTTATGGCAACAGAAAAGTCAAATCTGAGCTTTAACTCCGTCTTTAATATTTGCCTTAATCAGCTTAGAATGCTACCTCAGATTTGGGTTATCTATTGATAGTTACTCGGTAACTAAATAAGTAAGATACTTGTAAGAATAATACGAGTACATATATTACCACCGAAGGGTCATATTTGTAGCAAGTAGCAATTTTTCATTTACCAGCTTCAAGCATTAACTTTCGTGAGCTGCTGGCTTTGCAGCTAAAGAACTTTTGTATTTTTTTCCACTGAATTGCACTTTAAGACACCCAGAGGACCAAGTTTGCCAGAAAACAAACTTTCATTCGATATTTACCATTTCCAAGTAGTCAGTGCTCACAGCTCACAGCTCGTAGCGCATCAACACAAACTTGTTAAAGCCAAGTTAAATGTAGCTTAACAACATAAAAATATGAAAGGGAAACAATTGAAACGATCTGAGAGGTTTGCAGCAAAAAAAAAAAACAAAAACAAAAAAAAACGAATACAACATAACAAAGAAAACAACAACAATTTTGCGATTGGAGCAAACTGTAAGCCATAAAAGTATGTATGTATGTATATAAGCCGTTTCAATAGCTTGGCAATTATTATTGTAACTCCTTTTACGTTGGCATGCCAAGGTGGGCCGCCAATGACTTCATAACAGCTGACCCGGCGGCACAGCGCAAACTTTTGCACCCCACCTACTCTTTGCCATTTACTTACTCCACACACACATACATACATACAAGCATTACAGAACTTTTCGTATGTCGGGATTTCTGTGGGGCTCGTTAAGAGTTTCTCTGGCATAGCACTTTGCCCTCAAATATTCATAAAATATAATTTTGTCTCGATTTAATTGAACCCGCAGGCAAGCTGTAATAACAAAAGAAAACAAACAATTGTAAACGTAAAGAAAATACGGAGTATGAAAAGCTGTAAAGGTATGCATTTATGATTATTGGAAATGCTGCTATAGGAAAAAATTTATGACGGACAAACACACAAGTATTTACCTACAAGTGAGCTTTTGAGCATCAATGTTATGTTAAGGTACGAATATGTATGTAAGCAAAAATACAAATAACGTGATTATTTGCAAGAGAAAAATCAGAAATCATTGCACACACAAACACACTTCAATATCGCAACATAAAGCAAACGGAAAATTTATTACGCATCTCAGGTACATACAAAGTACATACTTGTACATATGCACATACATACATACATCTATACCTGAAGGTATGCGCACAAGGACACTCGCTGGTTTTTGTGGGGATTAAATACTTCAAGCGAGCTGTAAAGTTTGTTGGCTGAGAGCAGTTCGATGTGGCTGTGGCTTTGTACGCTGCCTGCCGAAGCCAACAGCCAACGTCGCTCGCTCGCTGCTTTGGACTGTGGGTGGGTGGGTGTGCCAGGCGAAAATCTGTATTTATAGTCGCAATGGCAAACCAATAAAATGGCAATGGCATTGGGGGAGTGAGTGAGTGGAAAAGAAAGCGCACAACTGATGCATCGTTAAAATGGAGAGCGTAAAAGGCATTTCATTGGATTAATGGCGCGTATTGGTGGAAAGTTTCCAAGCCATTGATTGAATGTTACAATGTTAAACTGAAAATGTGCACTTTTGTAATACATAATTAGTTGATGGGCATGGGAGGAGGTTAAGCGAAGAGCAGAAAGGACTTGACATGCCAACGAGTTTGTGGGGTAATGGCAACAAAGTTTAAATCGCATATTTCTTTGCCGCTAATTGCATAGATCAATTATTTGCTTACTTTTATACCTTCGGTGGTAATAATAATGCCATACATACTTAAGTACTTACTTTTGTATTTAAAGTACCAGTTTGGATACTGGTAATAGGCACGCGACATTTTGACCAGTTTCGACTATTTTTCCATTGTTTGTTTACTGTTTATTATTATTTTTTTTTTATAGAAATACAGCTCATTATCTGACAACAACAATATAGGTCCAAGTTTCAAACTTTGTAAAAAAATTAAAAAAAATCATGAAAATTTTCCACAACAACTACAAACTTTTTATTAAGATTTTTCTAGAAAAATTATAAGTATGCAGTTTTATAGCCCATTAAATTCTAACTTCAGAAAGTGCAAGTTTCAAGTAGCTAAAAATTCGCGTTGATTTTTGATCTTTTTTTTTTTTGCTGACGGTGTCAAGCATTTTCTTCCATCCAAAATCAACGCGAATTTTTAGCAAAGCATTCAACCCCTTACCCTACATTCACCTCAATTTAGCTTATCTTAACTTAATTCACCTCCCTTACATTTATCTCACCGCAACTCACCTTATCTCTCCTCAATTAACGTCAACTTAACTACCTCACCACATCTCACCTCAAATTGACACAACTCTGCTGACCTCAACCCACCTCAACTCAGCTCAGCGAAGCAAACCATAGATAAGTTTTATTCCTAAACATCCCGAAATAGTCACAAAAATCGCGAAGTAGTCCCAAATACCTGAAATTGTTCCGAGAATCCGCAGTAGTCTCGAAAATACAGAAATAGTCACTAAAATCCCGAAGTAGTGTTGAAAATCTGGATATAGTCCCGAGAAGCACGAAAATCCTAAAAATACCCCTTTTGGTATTATAAGCTCACTCGGGAATAAAGACCAACGCTACTTGTGTTTATGTATGTATATGGGACGTTACATGTCAAACGGACCGAAGTTGTACCCGAAATTCTTTGCGATAGAAATTAACATTAAGCGTGTCAAGAGACTCATAAATTTATAATGTATCAAATAAATTCCGATATTAAAGATGGCAGATCCAGTGTGGCGGAAGATTTTTAAAAAATTTATCAAATTCACTTAGAATTCCTTATCGGGATCGCTGATATGAAAAAATTCTAGATGGCGGACAAAAAATCGAAATCTATTAAATTATGAATCTGATATCAGATTTTAGAAATTCAAAATGACCTTTCAATATGGGACCTGCCATTTATCACGGAAAAGTTAAAATCGAACGTATGTACGTACATACGTGACGTATGAGCTACGCCGACGAGATTAGAATGTTACTCATACGCCATGGTTCGTAATCAGCAACCCCGATACCCCCGAGTAACGGGTTGCACCAAGCTATAGTGAACTTGCCGGAAACTGCATGATTTACGAATTGGCTGCAAATGGTATTCTTTAAGCCATTTTAAACAGTTTCTTGGACAGATGGGCCTCAAGCATTTAATTCAACAAAATTGATAAGTTACATAAAGCGTGAAATAAGAGTGTCAAAATAGGGTGGTTTCAGAAAGCTTACTTTGGAAAATATTTTCAAAGATTATTGCCACCTGCCGGAAAATTTGTATTAACTTAAGTGGTAAAAAAAAATGAAATATTACAGTTTTAGTATCAAACAAAATGTTTTCAAGAAATCCTTGACCTAAGTACATTTGTACATGTTGACAGTTGCAGAGAGGGTTTGTTTGGAAAATTGTTTATTGAGCTAAACTCATTCATGATAAAAATTTTTGCACAACACCACCCTGTGGCTGCCAAATTGAAAAAAGGTACAAATCGTGTGACCCCTGCTTTAGAAATGTTTATCATTGACCAATCTAAAAAGTTAAAATTGAAAATTTTAAATTAAAGGAAATATTACGAGATGCATAACAAGCAAAAAATTTTTTTTAGACGCTTTCATTAGAATGAAAACATTCTTTGATTCAGATATTTTTCAAAAGGGTTGCCACTGATATTATTTTTTATATTGCGAGTTCGAATAGTACTTAGAGTTCACGAAACGAAAAATATTGAAAAAAGCTTGTAAAAGTAATAAAAAGTGAAAATATCAGCTTTTTAAAAATTTCTTAATGGAAACTTAATAATACTGTCACCAATAGTTTTTATAAATCAAATGCATAATCAATTAAATTTTAAATGTAAATAATTACGTTCTGCTAGGCATTTAATTACTTATTCATTTATTTTTTGTAGGAACCAGGCCCAAACTACGCGTGCAGAAAACAACACTCGGACTGCATGTCGTCCAAAATATCGATAACTAAATCGATAACAATAACGATACCAAAATCGATAAAAACGACAAAGCTGATAAAATTATCGATGACAAAATTGATAAATAACGATGACACAATCGGTAACTAAATCAATAAAAAATATCGATATTAAAATCGATCAAAAATACCGATAACGAAATCGATAAATATACATAACAAAATCAATTCATATCGATAACAAAATCGATTAATATAGATAACAAAATCGATAAACATCGACAAGGAAATCGATAAAAAATATAAATTTTCATATCGATAAGTTCCGAGAAAACCGAAAATCTCTAAAATCCCGAAATAGTTCACCGTGTCTCTATTTATATGTATCCTTTTCTTTATAGTTACCTTTGTATTAATCTTTCTTCCTCTATCTTCATCCTTATTTTTATCGGTATTCTCATCACCATCTATCCTAATATTCATCTTTATTTTTACCTTTACGTTTATTAGTTTCTTCATCTACACCCTCACATTTGTCCTTAGATAAGTACAGTGTTTAAATTTACATAGGTCTTCATTTTTGCCTTTTCTTTACGCAACTTTGTTTTTATTTTTACTTTTGCCTTTACCTTCGAGAGTGACTAAAAATTAACGACAAGTCGATAGATGTATAATAAAAAGAAAATCATATAAATTCTTCTCTGATTTTCATATTCCGATTTTATTAGACTGAGCCACAGTAAGGCGAGACCGGGTAACTTATGTTGTATCATAAAAGATAGCCAAGTGGGGACGACCACCTCACCTAACCT